CCTCGGGATCACTGTCAGTTTCGGTCGATGAATTCCGAGGCCTTCGGATCATAACTCGTCTGGCATTACGAGTCCGATGAGAAGGTGAATTTCCGGATACAACCGAGGCTACCATGTCCCCATCTCTGTTCCTCCATGCTTTGAACAGGAATGTTGGACCTTCGCCTTTCTCCTGCCGAGCATACCAGAAATTCAGTAAGGCGGTCGTGTCCCAATGTTGCAACTTCGAAGGCTCCTTCAAGTCCACATCCGCCGAAGAAGATATGTTCTTGCCACAAAGTCATCCTGACTTTGTACGATGGCGCTCCATGGCACAACTGCCTTGACAATCCCAGAACAGATACCTGTATAAATGCATTCAACAAATGTTCGGGTGTTGCGACGACGGACTCACGATAGTGCGATGTGAGAAATGCTCTGACGATGGCTTTCTTCTCCTCAGTTTCGTCTCGGTGATGTCAGGAAGCACCGGCATCCCATCCCCATCAATTTCGAGTTCGAAAGCAGGCTTCCTGATTCTCTTTCGACCTCCATTCACCTGTCGCCCACCATCTCGTGCCCCAGCACCTATCATGACAAAGATCAACCAATTCATTCCAGTAGCCAGAGATCAAACACTCACCGAATTGTTCCTGCGCGTACTCCTGCCAAACTGGCTCGATGTCCTCCCAGTCCTTCGTCTTCATGAAACTTTCCCCATCTCCTAATGCCTCGTTATCATCGTGCCTGCATGAAATGTATTGAGATCGAAGATCTGCGATGATCTGATGACAAAATTGACTTACATCCCGAACAGCACCTCTCCCTGTTCATTCTTCCATGCCGACATCACAAACACTCTCATCCCGCATTGCCTCCACATCTCCTTCGAAAAGTGCTCCATATACGCGGTCCCTTCTTACGAGCCACTTGTGCTTGTATCTCGGGAGGAGGAAAGTTGCTGGACCATTCTTCAGCCGTGTCTTTCGCCTTCTCCAACTCATCATCGGACAATTCAGCCATGACTCTTTTTACAGCCGCCTGATAATGCTTGAACATACCGGGACCTCCTGGCTTTGCCCCGGACTCGTCCTCAATCCTCTTCAGCACCTCCTCCCGTTTCTGCTGGTAGATCACCTGCCTAGGAGTCCATTTCCTCCCATACTTTATCATGTCCTTCCTCTCCTTCTTTTTCTGGTTGTTGAACAACCATGTCTTGTACATCTGAGAGTTCATGGAAGAATAAGTGTTAAATTTTAGTTTTGAATGAAGCAAGGATGAATCACCTGCTTCCTCTTCTTCCATTGTGCTTGGTCGACCTTGGGAGCAAATAGCCTGGCAGCCCTAGCTATGGCAGTGAAAACTGCCCTCTTCTCAATCCTTTTCGCCGAAGTCCACTCAGGAAGGTAGTTCTTCAACTCCGAAATTTCGTTATCCGTGAGCTTCTGTGTCTGTGGTTGAGCGCCCTATGTCTTCCAGAAGTGGAAGTCAACTGAGTGGAATGACCTGATCTTGCCATTGTGAATGAGATTGCAGAAAGGGCTGAGGATGAGCAAGGTGGAAGTATAACGGTGACAAGTTCAACTTTGAGCAAAGCCTAACAGTTGGTTAATCGACCCATAGTGGACGCAATTCCATTATTGGAAATGAATTTGTAATGACGCATCAAGCCCGCATAAATTTGCAATAACAATTTATTCACCTGAGCTCGTGGCCTTAGAATAACATGAAGATAGGTAATGCACCCCACTGCAAAGAGGGTAGAAGCAAGGGGAAGCAGAGGTAGGAAAATTTGGGTCAAGCAAGCACAAAAAGACGTGCACAGGTCCATGCCTAGCTCTCCCCCAGAATCACCAACACTTCGGCCTGTTGAGGCACCACCTCTTTGGGAAGACATTCCTGACAATACTTACGAGCAAGACCAAGGCTCATTTGAGCCTTTGCAACTCCCAAAAACCATGGCAAGTTCATGTAAAATGTTGCATTGCAATTCAAATGATAGCTAAGTATAACAACCAGAGTCAGAATGACTACAGGCAATGGCTGCCAAGGCAGAAATCATATCTGCATCACCTCCTGGATCGAGAAGCTCCACCAGAAGATAGGAGATGCGTCGTCTGCGACCAGGATGGGGTCTACAAATGTCAAGATTGTCTTGGGGAGCCACTCTAATTGCACTGGCTGTTGCAGAAGTCAACATCTTTGCAATCCCTTCCATTGGATCAGTCAATGGAATGGTCAATTCTTTGAGCAAGTTGTCTCGCTCAGTCGGACTCGTCATACACCTCGTCATGAGGGCAAACAATGTCCGGTACTTACGGATAGGTGGGACTTGTTCGAAGAAGACGAACTGGAAGACCAGCTTGAGCCTGAGATCTACCATCTGTGTCGGGACCCGAGTTCCAGCCGAAGGAAACACCATGGTCGTCATTGACAAGTCCGGAGTTTCATCGCCTCCGGGTTCGATGCTGCGATTGTCCAATGCCATGAGTCCAGACCTTCAAATGTTCGACATGGATTTTTCCCCGCTTCATTTAACAAGCCGAAGACTTTATTCACCGTCAGGGTTCTCGATGATTTTCTACTGGACAACCTTGAATGTGGGACCTCGGCATGAAACTATTACAGCAAGCTCCGGCGAATGACCTCGAGGATGTTTCCACACCTTGTACCGGTAATGCCATGTCTCTCTCATCTAAAGGACATTATATTGACAAGGCATGGGGCAAGGACCGATACCGAGAGCTCATGAGAGTCGCCCGACAGTGGAGGCAGTTGAAGACGATGAAATGGCATGGCTTCGGCCATTGTTCCGACAGCCCGAAATGCAGGAGATCTCGCATTATTTTGCCCGGCATGTCCTCAGCCTGGGATTAATGTGTCCTTCTCAGGGGATGAATCACTTGATGAGTGAGTCTTCCTCGATACCGAAGTCACCTCAGCAATAATAACAACTCCAAGGTGGAAATACACCCGGTCATTTGTTATGGATGGAAATTTCAAAGCTGAACACCTGCATCCCATGAAGCCATTTGATGAAGTTTGGCTGTCAGATGGGTTGGGATTCATGGTGGGAAAGGACAGGTATAACACGCATCTTGCAGAGGCTGCCGACACTTTAGAAAAATCAAGCTGCAACAATCACCGGGCAGTAAATCAAGCAAATGCGGCTCGGCACAAGCTGGAATCCACGGGTATCGGGGGAGTAGCCTGTGCGAGACACGGTTGCTTTGTTCCTCACTCGATGGTAGATTTTCAGAAAGGCGAAAGGCAAGCCGACCCAGCCATTCGATATTCACGAGTTAACCATGCATCATTCGCAGACAAATGAACATGGACTATGCCCTTTGTGAGGCTGCCCGGCACAACATGGAAGGCATCACCAGGGCGGTCACCTTCTATGATATCAACTGTCAATACAACAAGCACTTTCGGGTTCGGGTGGATCGAAGCCGATTTCTCGAAATGGTTCCGGAATTGACCATCATTCCCGGAATCGGGTTGTGGCACATCCACGGACATCAGGACAGCTGCTATGTCCGATATGCGTCGAATTTTATCGAAGGCATCGGTCGGATTGATGGAGAGATCATGGAGACCCTATGGTCACGTCTCAACCTGATTTCCCCTGCTGCTCGGGGAATGTCATCCCCGCATCGAAAGGAATGTCTCGATTATCAGATGAATGATTCCAATTTCTGCAAGATGATCCGCATGAAAAGGACCCTTTGCCGAAAATACAAGCAGGCGAAGAATGGCATTGCCGAAAGTGAAAAGGCTTTCGACATACTCAATGAAGCAGCACCCGGCGATTCAAAGACAGAGTGGCTAGCCAGCGAGAGGATCGCTCAGTCCAGCAGAATAAATAATCCTGCGGCTATGGATGTATATGAGATTAATATCAAGAAGGGTTAGTTGACTTTGTCTCCATCAAAGTCTGAATTAATTTTGCATTCAGCACCGAGCAAAAAGGAGATCGAGCTTAGGCTACTAGAGGAGGGTAATGCCCGAAATGCAGCACCTGCTCGCAGGTCTGTGGCGACATGGATATCAATGGGGTTGGCGATTGAAGAGGCTCAAATCGCATTGCTCATCGAGGTCCGAAGGAATTGGTAGAAGAACTACCGAGACACAGAAGTTAGACATCGCCCGGCAACGCGATCGTCTCCAAGGCCAGATAGATGGATTCACTCGGTCTGCTATTACGCATCTCGGAGAGGGATTTGATGCAGATGATGATCCTGAAGACTTGTACTTGGACATTCTTGATGATCTCGATGATGACTTGGCAGACTTCACCGAGACATCTGACACATGGGCAAACTCCCCTGAGCTCACTGTAATCCCATTGCCATCAAACCTCGGGGTAGATCGATGCAGACGCTGTATGGCAGACGATCTCATTCCGCTGGAGATGTCTCTTCGTGAAGGGCAGGCCAATGACTCCCTTCACAACCTCCGAATTCACTTGTGCAACAAGGCGATTCTGTTTCGAACAACAGTTAGGCAAGCCAAATCCCAGGCCCTGAAAACTCGAGCTTGGTCCCAGGTGACGTCGGTGCAGCAGGCAGTGTCCCTCCATGCCAGTATATATATGAAGACGAGGAAGCAAATGATGCAACTGGAGCCAGGGCAAGACCAGGTTCAGAAATACAAACCCCTGCTTCGAGAGCAACTCAAAATCAGCACTGCCGTCGGCGATCCAAATGCCCGAGGTCAGCGAAACGAGTCCCTCGCTTGGTTCTGGTCAGTCGAAGTCGACCTTGGGGGGTCCCGATCACTCGTGGAATGAGGAATGTGAGTTCGGGCATGCTTGATGTGTCCCGCACTCAGCTGACGGAGTCATCCGAAGTTTACCGAGTTCATTGGCTCCGGGCAAAGGCACTACGGGATCGATGGAAGGAAGAAATGATGTTGGTCCAATTGGAGATGGATTGGACATGTAACTTTTTCTTGTGGAAAGCAACCCAATGGGGTGACAGGATGCGCGAATCATTGGTGAAACACCTTCCGGGTCATGCATGCTACTCGGGAAGGCAATCCCAAATGTATTCATTGCTGGCACAGGATGCCCAGGCAGCATTTCAAGACCTGAAGACCGGGTTTATAGATGCTCGAGATGAATGAAATTTTTTTGCCAACGATATGAAACAGCTACTTTGACCCAAACATTTTAGTCCCGGGAATTGGCCGGGTCGACCCATGTCGGAGTTTGAAAATTTTTATCAATCAACCAGTGGCTCATATCTTGACCTCCGAACCAACTGCCATTGTCATTGTCATTTCCAGCTTCATAATCCTGCATTAACCATGTCTGTATTGCATACTCCCCCAACATCCCCTTCTAATTCTCAGACTTCCAGGCAATGGGTTCCGACCCCTCACACTCACTCAGGCAGATATTGCAGCTACAATGTCAATGGCTGCATCTCGCATCCGAGCGTCCATCTCTCAATATCAGATGGAGGCTGCCCACACCCAGGAGCCATCTGCTACTCGGATCACGCACTTTAAAGCCGGGCTGCAATGGGAGATAGCTGTAAGAGGCTGATGACTGTGGTGGTCAATGCTGACATTTCCAACAGACTTTTGTGACTCCCATCCTGCAGTACTCAGCTGCAAGGAACATCATTTCAGTTGTTCCAGAGCCCGGTTGCTCATATTCCTCAGTTGATTCCAAGCTCACCTGGAACATGGTTCCGGACCACACTCTTTTCATCCCACCTATGCCAGTTTCAAGACGTTGCAGATCTGGGGGATCCCTCCCGCATTGTATCCACCTATGGTACTCCATGGTGGACCGGATCAACTGCCATCCCGAACGAATTATGGCCATGGGATCAGGTATTTGCTAATTGTGTCTGTCACTACCAGCATTGGCTAGTAAGACTTTTACAGAATTTCCTTGAGTGATGACTAATCCTTTCTAGTCTGGCGTTGAGGACGAACGTCTTGTTGTTCCCGAGCAGGTGGATGAAAGCTCACTTGCAACGCTGAAGGCACTGAGGTGGATGAGGGAACGCCTCCTGACAGTGATTGAGGATCAACAAGCTGGCATCCGTGAAAAGATGGCAGAGATTCAGATGTACACCGCCGTCCTAACCAAATTGAACCCAAGGGGACCAGAGTAGTTCTAGTCCTTCAGTTCAGAATGTTGAAGTCTAAATTCTGTACATGATGAAATAAGTACTGAAAATTACATACTGACTTTCGAATATCTGACCTATTGCTATATGCTGAGTCCTGCATACCAAATATCGAGCATCGAGATCCAGATATCTTGAGTTCCAAATATTGAGTCCCAAACATAGAGTCCCGGATATCCAGTCCCGAAGCCCAAGATTCGAGACGAGACTTGAAACTCGAACATTGCTATGAGTTGCGAGTTTTGAGTCCCCACCGAGTCCTGACAATCGAGTCCCACAGCCCGACTATCAAGTCCCAACCATCGAGTCCCAACCATCGAGTCCCGACAATCGAGTCTTGAAACCCGAGTCCTGACAATCGACTCCCGAAGCCCGAGATTTGAGTGCCGACCATCGAGTATCGAGTCCCCAATATCGAGACCCAAAACCCAAGCAGCCCGAAGCCCGAGATTCAACACGAAACAAATCAAAACTCCAAACACCACGACACTTTCTTGAATCACCGAGTACCGAAACCCGAGTACCGGGTACCGAGTCTTGAAACCCGAATCCGCACTATCGAGTCCCAACTACCGAGTCTTGAAACCCGAGTCCCGACAATTGACTCCCGAAGCCCGAGATGTGAGTGCCGACCATTGAGTATCGAGTCCCTATTATCGAGACCCGAAACACGAAGCCCGAAGCCCGAAGCCCGAGATTCGACACTCAAAACATGACACTCATCAATTTTGGGAGTTGTTTTCTTGAATCACCGAGTACCGGGTACCGTGTACCGAAACCCGAAACCCGGTACTCGGTAGTCGGTGAAATCGAATATCGAGTCCCGACTATCAAGACCCGAAACCCGAATGTTGAGTATGGAGTGCCTGACATCTAGTATCATGTATTTGAAGGTGGGTACTAACACGGGTAACTACCTTTCTACTTCTTCCAATCCAACCTTGCCCATCCACACGACGGAATCCCAGCATAAACATGAACAGCATCCCTCATATACCATGCCCAGGCAATCCAATCCCCTTCCACTGCATGAACCGCATGTCTGACAATCCTTCCCGAAAATGCAATCATGCACCCCGGATCGTACCTTAACTCCAGCTGCAGGCTTGGCATACTCATCCGAGCATTAGAATAATTCCCCACGCTAGTGAGAATATCGAAGCATTCGGAAATCGATGAGGGGTCTCGATGATTCGGGGTTTCCCGATTGCATATGACGGTGAGGCTGTTAAACACCGTTGCCCAGTACTGGAGAGTCTCTGACATCTTCGGCAGTTCCTTGCTTCGTGCCTTTTCTCCGAGGCTCGCAAAGGCTTGCAACCCTGCCCAGTACTGCTCAGGATGCATCACCCTGAGTGCCGCTGTGGCAATGGCTGCTGGCCTCGCAATGGCTTTGAGGATGTTCTCGGAGGATGGTCCCTTCAATGATGCAGATACCTCCGGATCGGACTGATTCTATGGGATTGGTGAGTTTAACTACCGAGATCACCATCTCATCAGATCCTACCTCGTGCCCCTGCTGAAACCATGCCAAAAATAAATTAACGCATCCGGGAGTTAGGACATCATTTTCCGAGCTTGGTGTGAACCACTGTTGATTAGTCCGCCAAATCCCATCGAGCTTTATGCTTTGTTCGAGCATGGGAGCTAGCAAATCCGAGGCCGCCCAAATTTCATTCTGTACGTACCATTTGATGTTCAATATCCATCCAGTCACAATATATATAACACACCTGGGTGGCATCGGTCAAGGCGTCTGGGAGGTACCATGCGATGATGGCACCGGATGCATCAAGAATTGTTGCGGGTATGTCGATCAACTTTGTGCCCTCATGGCCAGGAGGACACCTCTCAAGCAACTTTTCCTCTCTCTCTTCATTACGCCCCGTGTCCTTTGGGGAGATCAATTTGCTATATCTTGCAATATCAATCGGCATCTGAACTGTGATGAAGCAATTTGACTGATAAAACGAATTTTCCGAATCTGCAGGAAGACTCACTGGGATTTTTATATGCCTTTATGAGCCGATCAACCAATTGATCACAAGCCATCACCAGATCAGTGTCTAGGTTTGGAGAAGGTATAACTGGGTCTCCTCCTGTCTTCTCTGCATTGAATTTCTGTTCCGTATAATCACATGCCACATGAGTGACAGTCAGGGCCCAAGTGCGCAAGAGGGTTATTTCATCATCGGAAGTGGAAGAAACATCCATGATTGAATTGATCTTGTGAGATCAGAAGCTGAATCCTGAATGTCCGCACTTTGGTGTTAAAGGGGGTGGAGATTGAGAGGATCAGATAAGGGAGCCTTGGATGATCTGAGCTTTCAAAGATCTATTTCTCTTATCATCTATTGCTCAATGAAATACCACATGATTGGAAGTCTGTTGGATGTCAGATACTCGTTTGTCGAGACCCGGGCCTCGGATCTCGGTACACTTCACTCGATTTTGATACCCGGGACACCATAGTTGGAACTTGTCTCGAATCTCGGGTCTCGGGTCTTGGGCGTCGGGTCTCGGGTCTCGGGCATCGGGTCTCGGGTCTCGATGGTCGGGACTCGATATACGGGACTCGTTGGTCGGGACTCGATACTTGATTGTCGGGATTCAATGGTCAGGCGTCGGGTTTCATGACTTGGTAGTCGGGACTCGATAGTCGGGACTCGATGGTCGATTTTCGGGATTCGATAGTTGGGGCTCAGATATTGGTACACTTCACTCAATTTTCGGTGGTCGGAACTTGGCATTTGGCATTTGGTAGGCTTGGATGATGTTGGCTTTCAAAGATCTATTATCATCCATTGCTCAATGAGATACCAGATGATCGGAAGTGTGCTGGACATCACATATTTGTTTGTCGAGACCCGGGTCTTGGAACTCGGTACACTTCGCTCGAGTTTCCACTTCACCCCTTTGCAAAGCTCCGTGCCATACCACATCATTAGATGACTTTGAATAATCACCTCCTTTGATTTGGATGATATACAACTAGCTGAGCTCCATCATGTCTACAATTATCATTCTCCTGGGCCCACCCGTCTATCTTATATACCCCCACATCGGCCTACCCATCTATGCAATATATGTCTCCCGTCGGCCCACCTGTATATAATACATCTTTTACCACTCCCTCGGCCCACCTGTCACAACCCTTATAACGAATTAACGCAGGGGCAGAGACTAGGACTCAAACAAGGATAGCAGGGACGTCTTAGGATTGCTAGCAGTAAGCTAATACAAAGAGGTTTGAACTGAAGAACTACTGACTACAATGAGCTACCTATATACATATATTGAAGCGGAGACTGAATCTGAATCTGAACTAACTAGCCAATCATTAAATAGAAAAGGGAATCGTACAATGTTCTAAATATAACTACACTATGATGTCATGGAACGTGTGATGGCTGTGCAAGGGTTCTCGAAGGTTCTAGAGTCACGTGACTTGATTGCTTGAGTAAGGAAGTCAAAATCAGGGATGTCGGATATAGAAGTAGTAGGCGCTAATGGAATAGAGAAGTTCGGGTTAGGGTTTGGAAAGGTTATAGGTACAGACGCTGGCTGAGCGCTAACAACAGGCGCTTGTGACGGGCGCTTAACGGGTGTCTTACGAGTATTTAGAAAAGAATAATGATTTGTATTTGGAACTCGTGACACCACCCGTCTACAAAATAATATTAATTCGTCGGCCCACCCATCTAATATGATATATATCTGGGCCCACCTGTCTATGTGATAACAAGCACCCTTGATATACCCGGCTATTTGATACATATCTACCTTGGTACACCCATCTACATAATATCCAACTACCTCGGCCGATCCGTCTATTGAAAATTCATGTCCATCGGCCCACCCATCTACTTTACATATTCCCCACCTGGGCCCACCCGTCTCCATCGGGAATAATAACACTCCCGGCCCATCCGTCACAGTCGAGGATATATCTACCCTCGGCCCATGGTCCGCTGGCCCGTATCATACGGGATATTATGCACATCCGTCCACTCGTATAATACGGAGATATGTTACTGCAATATGTGTGGAAAACTGTCTATGCGAAAAACCTGACACTCATTGATCACTCGATTGTCCCAGGAGACGCTGTCTATTACATGGTAAGTCTCACCGATACAGCATGTTTGTAGCTGACACTCTATCTAATGTAGGCTAAGCAACGCTTGAGTGAATGGCGCAGTGGATTTGGTTCCGCTGCCATCATGATGATCACGAGTCTCATGGCAGCTGACCCGCTCTATGAATCTGAGGATAACCGTGTCGGATTCGCAGATTTTTGGCTTGCGGACAACAAGTTTCTCTTTGGGGATGTTGACTCCGACAACAAGAAGGTATGTGTCGTCATTTGGTGTGATTTTTGCTGATGTCTATGTGTGTCTAGGAATGGTCAGGAATGTGGCAGTCGACATTCATCCTGCAGACTTTCGCGGCGCACCTCAACTACACCCAAGGACGTGTACCAGTCCCAGAGCTCAACAGCAAGGAGCCGGTTCTCCAAACTGCACTTTCTCTCTCTGCAGCAGCGGTATTTTTTTTTGTTGAATTCACACATTCTTCTGATAACTTCAGCAGGTTAAACATGCCCTTGTTCTTCTTGCGAATAAAGAGATGACTTTTGAGATCAAGACCACCACCTCTAAGGGCAAGAAGAAGCCTTCACGGAAGGGTAAGGCATCAGCTGCAGAAACCAAATGGATCACTGTCATCAGCGAGAACGAGACTTTTTCGGAGCCACTCTGGGGATATGACACCTGAATGTTCTTGACCGCCATCAATCATGTTCCCGCTGACAAGATGAAAACCATAATTGAACAAGCTCAACAATACATGAAGGCAACGACTCACGCTGGACGATCGAAGACGGATGGTGTGCTTGCGGACACCCAAAATGAAGACTTTGATGAAGAGTATGCTGACCTCCTCACTTTCCGCTGAGTGTAATTTTATTTTATTTATTTATCATTTATGGTGCTCACTCATTCATGACAGATGTACATCCATGGCTCATGGCTCATATTCGAATTTCGCCTGCTATCATTCAAGTTGCCCAACTGCCGACTAGTGCTTTTTCCTCATTTCCTTCATATAATGTCTCACCGTCACTCTCGCATGCTCGAATTACTATCCTTTTTACACCGGCATGTTGCGCTGCAATTTTAATTGTGCTTTCGTGCTACTTTTCCTCTGCTTTTTTAGCCCTGAATTTGTTTTAATACCCTCCATAATCCCTCTTAGCCACTACTTTGGATCTTACTGAAATCAATGGATCGTGTTTGGCAAACAGCGCTTGTCAAGCAACCCTTAAGTCAAACATAAGAATTTGGATCTAATTTATTTAAGAGATACTGTTCTTAATGATTTCTGGCTTATTTGTTCTTGATCCATTGTGAGTACGTGCTCAGCCATCATTAAGTCATCATTAAGTAATGTGTTGATTTCCTGATGTAGACCATTGCCTTGCAGGGCCAAAGTAACAGCGTGGTGCGAAGAGGGATATCATCTGTGCCAGATAGTTCTGTAATGTAATTGTATTTTCCCATGGTCACGAGACAACAAATTATGAGGAGTTTTAGAATTTAAAATTTTGACCTGCAGTGAGGAGCGTATGAGGTTTGTGTTGGCTTCGTTGGTCTGGGCTTTTAAGTTAGAGCCCAGGGCTCATAACCTGTTAGAACTAGACACTGTCTCAGCAAGTGTGATAGACAATGCTAAATAATATTATCTAGACACTGTCTAGATACATGTTAGCAAAGAGTAGATACGATGAGTAACAATAGTGTGTACCTCAGCAAGTGTGATAGACAACACTGAGGTAGGACTGTGCACAAACAAAACATTAAGTACCATACGAGATGGAAAGAAGCCACTGGTGGTAACAACACCAGTGGTGGCGACATATGGTGTCAAAGGTGACAAGAAGTGACAAGAGATGCAAATAAGGTAAGAGGGAAGTCCCAGAGGTTAATCCTCTGGGACTGGTAACATGCGTACGTACGGAAGTATTCTCGTTTCGTCTAACAGGCCTGGGACATGACTTTAAGGGAGGGTCGGTTCTTTGTCTTTCATCTCTGGGTGGACGAGGAGTCTAGGTGGTGTTTGAGGGGGATTTATAGTCCATATTCAAATGCAGATTCAGGTACAGGGGCATTTTGGGATTTGGCTGTGGGGCTCGGGGACACCGTTGTGGCCAGTTTCCATCTCAGTTTTGACAAGGTGCTAGGACCTATTAGGGTTTTTTGTGAGTAGGTATTAGTTCTCAGGGGGTGTTATTAGCGGTGGTTAGGGTTAATGTGTTGATACTTTGTTATATTTTACATCTGGGTGTAGTTTTACTTCCATTTTGCTTTCCTCGTTTTGATGTCCAGTGGGTTTACATTAGCATACAGGTGGTGTGAGTGGGTGGTTTGTTTATGTTGTTGGTGATGCATGTTGCGAGTGCTTATGTGCTTAGTTTTCGTGCATTTCATTTTGATGGATTTATGGTATTGTTCTAGGAGGGCGTGTTCACTTTTATGGTTCATTGTTTAGTGGGTTCCAGGTGTATTTGGTGTATTATGGCCAGTTGTTATTCTGTGAGCTGTGGTAGTTCGACCTTGCCAGCAATTTCATGCGTGGGAAATTCTGTCCATATTGGTGGTACAGAGTCAAGGCCCCCCCTAGTATTTTCAGCATGGGGTGAGAATGTGGCTCGCTTTACACATCGTCCTTAAGACACAGGAACAGGTCTAAATTACTAGTAAAGGCTAGTCTCTCCAAAAGTATGTCATCTCCAGTTATCAGTAATCAATAGAATAAATGTTGCTCAAAGCTTCAGCCAGATGACGTTTGTCGTCAGTGTATGCTTCATAAATCAATCATCTGCAGCATATCCTGAAACATATAAGCATACCACTCGACAAGCCACGTTTTAACACTTACCAGACGGTAGCGACTCGAATACTACACGAAAAAAACCTTAATGTGACAAACTTCACTGGGCTATGTCGAACGCACCGAAGGCCGCTGAGAGGACATGTTACTGTCTTTCATTCTCCTTTTCGTTATATTTCGACAGTGCCTGAAGATGATGTGACTGGTGATTTGTCACGTGTGTCATTATTCTCACCTGCGTTCGTCTCAGAGTTATTCGTCAACCATGTGCCTGTACAGAGGGCGTCAGCTCCTCGAGTGACAGAGACAAGTGTCACCCACCGTATGTAGGAGAGCAGCTCGTGATACGAAGCCTTAGGATTGCGTTCTACGAAGAATAAGTTGCGAAAATTCGTTTCTTTAAATATGCTTCTCACCGAGGTAATCAATGAAAAACTGGGCCACCCTCAGTCAGACCAGGAGTTTCATGTTTAGAATATTGTTCGTACCTTCGTTAGAGTTTCATCACCTGTGGCGTTGTCATCATATGCCAGCTCAATATCCCTGCATGCGGACAATGAAACCTTGGGGTCATCCGGTTCAAATTTTGAAGATATCAATAAGAGAAACACGCA